AGCATGAATTGTCAGGAAATGACATTCAACGTTATGTTTTTTCGGCACCGCGACGCTATTTCCACACAACAAACAAATACATTTGTCTTTTAAATTGACAAAGCAATATAAATCCTCCCATTCAGTATTAAAATTATAGGTCTGTTGTCTTTTACTTGATCCACTCATTTTGGGGTAAAAATAAGGAAGTATTTAAAAACAACGAAAGAGGAAACACAGTATACAAAAAATATGAGCATATAATTATGAATAAGTAATAAAGTAGATACCTCGAATGAACATTTACCTCACAGCACAAACCACACTACTGTCTAGCTCTTATGAGACAAATGTCTTTGTTGTCACAACAACCATAAAAATGGAATGGTTTATTTCATTTTAGGTATGGGTAATTAGGTTGGAGAAGATTTGGCAAAAGGGAAAAAAGAGATCAGTCGCATTTCGCTTTGTTCTTTTATCTGTGTTGGATGCCATTTATACTTTTGTGTGGATAATAATTAAAAATAAGAAAACTTTTACATAGCATTTTATTGAAAACTGAAATATTTTTATCGTGGTCGCACAGCGGCAAGCACATGTAGAACGATCGGCGGGCGCTATGGTGCCCGCGGGCGTAGGGTTGGGGACCCCTGACTTAGAGTATCAATACAAATAAACACTTTTAAGGCCTTATGCATTAGTGTTATAACCCGTCCGGTTTTCACCCGATAGTCCAGGGATCGACTCACTGTCCAGGTGAACTATTAATTTTGTCTGGGAATTTCATAGAAATTGTGAAATTACAATGAAACAAAGTTCTTGCAAATATTTTTACAAATTTATACTATTTTAACAGCAAAAAAACTCACACTCACTGAAACTCATCTGCAGTTCTGCCAATTAGGCCAAAACTCCACTAGCGTAAAACCCCTCACCATAAAAGCTTTTAATCACATGACCATGATATTTTGTGCCTGAGCAGGTCGTAAAAGCGAGTTGAGCAGTGTTCAACTTTCAATGCGAATACAGCCATAAAATGGTACCATCCACCAATCAGAAGTCAATGAAATCTAGGTTATTGTGACACAGTGCAAAAATGGAGAAAAACAAGCTTTTGTGTACGTTCCCTCATGGCTACTCTAGAATAGATCTGAAAAGATTTATTGAAAACATCCAAAAATATTTGTGTATCTATGATAAGAAGTATCCCGATTATAATAATGGATGCCTAAAACATGCTATATGGATGGCCAAAGGAAAATCCTTCAATTTAGAGAATTATATTATAAAAATAAATAATATATTATATATTATAATATATAATAAAAAAGCTAAGCTTATAAGTGTTGTATGTTATCTTAATAATATGATAATAAAAGTTAATATATGAAAGTAAAAATATTATTTTTACTATATTTGTAATTACAATACAGAAAGAACTCTTAAAATATAATCATTGTCTTTATAGTACCATTGTCATAAAAACTTCGCTAGCTGGACCTCCACTGCAATCCAGATGCAAATGCAAATATGTCATGTGATTAAGAAGTTTTTACGGAGAAGGTTTTTACACCCATTTTTACGCTAGTGGAGTCTGTTTACACCGACATGTGGCACACAACCTGTCAACTTTTTTTTTGCATGTCTCCAATATCCAATAGAGACAAGTCATCTGTACCTATTCTTTCTTAATTTAGGTTACTTACGTTACTCCTATGCAAGTCCTTAGTCCCTAACTGTAACTGATTTAGAACTGGCATGCACGTTATTCTTCACATTGTAAAACGACATTGCGCATGCACTAGGAACTTCTGTTTCAAACAAACCTGATCTGCCGTCCAGGTCAGCGTTTTGAAAAGGTGGCAACACTATTATGCATACTATATTAAAAAATATTCAAATAAAATTTCAAAATTACATTGTTTTATTTTTGTCTATCGCAACGTAATTGTTTTGTTACTTGTTCTGAGCAGTTATTTTGAATGGAGAAAATTTAATCCAACAATTTTAAATTTCTCAATATAACTCCTTTAACTTTTTCATAAAATCATTAACTCTGTCTATTTCAGCTAGTGCTTTCTATCTAAATTTTTTTGTCATTAAAGTAAAAAGATTATTATTTACATGTATTTTGATTTAATCATTTTAAATGAAGTATGATTAAGTAAAGATTATAATGACATAACAAGGTATGAATTAAATTTTCACTAATTAAAATTTATTTATAAATTATGTTATAAAAATTGTTTAGTTTATCAAATAGAATAATTTTGGCAAATGATTTAGAATTAGATTCAGTACAGTGTTACCTTGATACTCAAACTTGATTCATTCCAGAAGTCTGTTCAAATATCAAACAAATTTTTCCCATAAGAAATAATGTAAATTAAATTAATCCATTCCAGACCACCAAGATTACACTCATAAAAGCAGTTCAACTAAAATTTAACACATATTTAACATGAAGTTTACAAGCCTAACATGCATAAATCATAAAAAGAAATTTAAAAATATAAATACACAACACAGAGTAGCAAAATATACCTATTGACTTTATTGGGTTGAACAAAAGTTTTTCATATTTTTAACAGCTGTCATTACTTAACAAAGATGTGTGATTTAATCATAACAATTGTGAAATTTTACATGTTATTACAAATGTGAGATTGCCTTCTTTGTTTAGAAGCTTAGTTTAAAACTTTTAACTTCACATTTTGTTTGTGTAAAATCAAGTTTAAATGTCTGCATATCAGGTATTTTGCTTTTTGAGTTTCATAGAGGATATAATGTTATACAAACAATGAAAAATACTCTTAATTTGTATGGGAAAGAGGCTCCTAAATGTCTCACACAAAGTAATTTTCTAACAACAAAGTGTTAATTATTATAGATAAAAGATTCAGGTTTTTTAGGAAGTTCTACCTGAGGAAAGTACTAGATGTGGACTAAGAACAATGACACAAGTTTTCATAATTAAGTGCAAAGCACAATAAGGTTCATGAGTTTTATTTATAATTCACACACATTAAATGTGATTTCAAAAATTGTTTGGAAAATTTTGAACTAAAGGATACACAACAGAAAGGCCCCTAAAAGCTGTTGATAAAGGAAAAGTGCAGGAAGAAATTGTTAAAAATCTGTGAACAACAAATAACTCGTGAACTTGCAACAAATCTTAATGTGTCACTGGCATATTGCATATTAATGAAAGACTTCATTGACTTAGAACAGTTGCAAAACAAGATGATTGTGTTCCATACGCATTAAATGAAAAAAAACTAGATTAAGTATAATTTTTCTGACAAAGTTTTTATTTTATTTTTAAATTAGTTACAGTGATACCCCGAATTTACACGATAGGTGGGACCAAGCGATAACCGCGTAAGTCGAGGTATAATTTCGCAATTTGTGTAAAATCCAAGTCGGATGTATATAAGCTAATAAATGTTCTCATTAATCTTATCTCGTCTTTTGATTCATTCACAGTTACAAGAAATCACTACTTAGAGTCTCTCGAGTCTCCGTAGATATAACAAACACAGAAATAAATAACAAAATAAATTGTAGCTATGCGTCGATTCCACGCCACACATCCGAACATGTAAGCTGAACAATAGTATGAGGAGAGTGAGTAATCAAGAGCTGCGTGCTGCTCAAACAAAAGACGAATCCACAAGATTTGAAAATTGCATAACTCCGGGTTCATGTAAGTTGAAGTAGCATAAGTCAAGGTATTACTGTACTCATTTTTACTATGGAAAACTTTTTATAGATGACAAGATTAAAGTTAAAATAAAAGTATTTGTTTTTAACTAAACAATTTTTTTTTTTTACCAAAAATATGTTCAAATACTAAACAGTTCAAGTTTGGAGCAGTTCAAGTACCAAAGTACCACTGTATTTAGCATTCAACTTGGCCTCAGAGTTTCAAAACAGTGTTCCTAAACTCTACAAGGTTACATATCATATTTCAATAAACTTGCTCTACATAGCTTGTCAAAGCATGGGCACATAGCTTGGTAAAGCAACTTTAATATAGCTGGGTAGAAAAACCAATAATGTAGTAAATTTTAAATAAAACAGTCATTAGTTTGCTTATTTAGATATTAAAGCCACTTTACCAGGCAATGCTTCTCCATGTTATTACATGTTAAATTTTCAACTGTTGCACATAAAACAATCAAATGCTAGTAAAATATTGCTAACTGCTATTGCAATTCCTATTTACATTTTACTAGCATTTTTCTAAAGTTTATAAAATTCCAATCTAAAAAACTATGGCTTTAGTACATGTAAATTTAAAATTCTACACTAGACATTTAAAGACTTCTATAGTACTTCTATTCTGAAACCTTGTTCTGAAACTAAAAAGTTCTTTATTCTTAGAATGTTATAAAGGTCCATAAATATTGACTTCTTACAGATTTTATTAAAACAAAAATTCTATTTTATTAAATTTCTGTCTTTCTTCCCTTTCTAGTTCAAAGAAAATAGCAATTGATATTTTAAAATGAGAATTAATTTAATTACATCTTATAATATATGTTTTCTATTTTTCTTTTTAGTAAATCTCAAAATTTTGGTTTTGTCACATTCATGATTCTGTCTAATTTGGTAGAAATAAAATAACATCAGTAAAATTACTTTAGAAAAAAGATTGCACTGCATTTAAAATGATTAAAATCATGTTTTTAACTAAACAATTAAAATAATTTAGAAGTTTGCTTTTTGAACATACTATTCATATCAGATTTGAACAGAACCATTTAATTATCACTAATACAATATTTACATAGCAGCAAGTTAAATTTATTTATTTCATTTAATAAAAAGATATAAATCCCAAAAGTAAAATTATTCTTCTCAAAATTTGAATTTTTCTAAATGAACGGCCTACATTTTTATGTTTCCTATCAATAATACCTTTCATCAATCCATAATGGACTGTTTTGCTTAGAATTTTTTTTGTTTCATTATTATTCAATTTATATTAATTAAAAAAAATTTTAGCTATNAGCAAGACAAGTAATCAGTGCAATGAATGAAATAACTACATTTACAGTAATTGCATTAAAATCATCTGTAAGAATCAATTAATAAATAGGTTTTATAATTATAAGTATTTGTAAGTGATAAAATGTTAAAAGTAAACATCATCATTATATAAATTATATAAGAATGTAAACAATAATTGCTATTTATTTGTATGGGATCAGTATGACCCCATGTTACCAAGATTTGTAACCTTTTTATGGTACCCGACACGGGTTAATACTCTGTTCATATCACTGGGAGAAAGATTTTGACCCAATTTTTGTTCATAGGGTCCTACATATTGTTGAATTAACACAATAATTACAATATAAGAAGCTTATCATAAATAATAATGAGAAAGTTCTATTTTCAGAAAATAGAATATATACTTGTAATACTTGATATGCCTATTATATTACTTTTATTTTAAAATAGTTCTGTTTTCAGAAAATAGAACTATTTTAAAATAAAAGTAATATAATAGGCATATCAAGTATTTGACATTAGTGCATTACATTGTGTTAGTACACAAAATATATAATGTAATAAAACTTCACTTTTAGACACTCAAGAAATATGCAATAATCCTTGCAATACGAATTGAAAACTTATCATTGTTCAAGTGGTAATGTAATTTACAAAACCAATACCTTGTGGGTGACTTATACTGGTCGTGTGAAAATTGTATTTGAAGGCTTTAAAACATTTCAGTAAGTTCAATAAAATAGTTTTTCCCAAAATCCAAAACACTGTGCCATATACTGGATCCAATTTTTGTCCATTTCTAGAAGTCAGATTGGCAACGGAGTTGTCCAAAACTGTAGAATCCCACTGCCAATCTAATCACGATCTATCACAGTCGTGCATAGATTTGGAATTACCCATTATGAATTAAAAAAGTATGAATCAGGTCTAAATTTGTGTCAAGCTGGCAGTTTAACATGTCATCCAACTACCATATAGTAAAGGAAAATGAAACTTCATGAGAATATAAGCTTGATTTTCATTAACAATAAGTTTAGTCTTTTCTTCCCAAATGTCTGCTCTCAAAACTTTAATTATTTCAATAGATAAATGATAAAAGAAAATTTTCATTACACTTACTAAATGTTTTGAAGTTAATGAAAGAACAAACTGGAGAAAATTAACATTGATATCTATAGAACTAAATCTTTTATATAAGGTGTATATATACCTTATGTATGTATGTATGTGTGTATATATATATATACACATACATACATAAGGTATATAGATATATATATATATATATATAATGTGAGATATGTATTAAACTAATATTTGGCATTATCATTAATGTGACATTCAATACAATTCTTCATGCCAAAAATGTTGTATAACTGAAATTTTGCTAATTACATCTAACTGAAAACTTATTAAAGTTTTATAACAAATGAACTTAGCAAATGCTGGAGGAAATATAATTCATCACACAAAACCTTTTGAAACTTGAAAACGGTTTCTTGTTCCATTTCGCATGTATTTGAGTTCCTCATTATTGTAGCTTGAGGAAGACCCCGATAGAGTTGAAAATGTTCACTGTTTTTAAACACGTATCACTAGAGTTTCAAAAGGTTTTGTGTGATGAATTACTGAAGTTTTATTAATTTTATAATGCACATATATAACAAAATAGAACTGAATAAGAAAAAAATTATAATAATTAATCTCCACTTAAATGGATGAGTGGGTGTCTAAGCATGATCAGATAACCAATTTTCTTGAATAGAACTTTTTCCAAGAAGTAGGTGGAATGAGGCTATTTGTTTACTAAAGGTCACAATGGTCCTACTAGTTTGTTTTTGGCTTAAAGAACAATATAGGGCATGTGATGTTGGAAGGAGGATCGAGTGAGTGTCGTAGGTAAAGCAGACACAATAGCAGGTAGTGGCACAATTTTCATGCCCAGCTATTTCTTCTACAGTGCAGAATGTACAGAATCATTCCCAAGTGCATTTCTCTTCAGTATGAGGCTTTACCAGCTTGTGTTCAAATGCTGTTACCAACCATTAAAAGAAAACTACTAGCAAAGTTAATTAAAAACAAATGAGAAACTGCCAAAATGGAACAAAAGCTCTATGGTGCTTATCTACAGTTCAAAAAATATCCAGCTATTCTTTATGAACAACTTGACAAAATACACTCCAATGCATTCAACTCTACATTCTCCAAGGAAAATTGGACAAGCTCAATTGGTTAATCTCCTTTTCCCAAGTACAGAAACACAGTCAACATTCCATATTATAACTACTCTGGGAAGGTGGGTCCAAGGAGCATCCATCAAACTTTACAACAGGACCCCAAATTTATCCCTCCTACTAAAACTATTCTTGGGCATGTTAATTCCAGTTTCCTTCACAGCTCTCAAGACTTGTCAATGTATAGACCTATAATCACAACTCAAACTCTTCGTCTTTACAAGAATCACATCTGTTAGATCACCTCCAAAGACACCAACTTTCTCCATATGTAATAAACTGTTGCACAGTTTCTCGCTGACAACAGTTAAGACTCCTCATCTCAAAAACTCCTCTCCTCACAAAGTTTGTGCTTTGTGAGGAGAGGAGTAATTACAGAGGAGAGTAATTGCAGAGGAGTAATTACAGTAATTGCATTAAAATCATCTGTAAGAATCAATTAATAAATAGGTTTTATAATTATAAGTATTTGTAAGTGATAAAATGTTAAAAGTAAACATCATCATTATATAAATTATAACTCTAAAATAGAGTTTCTGTGCCAATCTGATTCTGTTTTGTTAAACAAAGACCTTATTCATATGGTGCTAAGAAAAACAAGAAAAATTCTGACACTACCTGCTATTGCGTCCACTTTACCTGGGCCATTTGATTCTCCTTCCGATGTCATATGCCATTGTTCTTTAAGCCAAAACAAAGCAGTGTGGCCATTGTGATTTTTTGTAAACAAACTGTCCCATCCCACCTTCTTCTCGGAAAAAGCTCTCTCCAAGAAAATTGGTTCTCTAATCTGGAATTGTGCTTAGTTACCTGCTCATTCTTGGAAGCTAAATCTGCCACTAACAGAACTATTGGTTCATTATCTTCAACTTAAAAGTTTTCTTTTTCCAAATACTAATATTTCTGGGTTAATAACATTAAGCTTCAAATTTAAAGCTTACAAACAATTTAAAATTGTGCAGTTAATAATGAAAGAAACAATAATCTCTAAATAATACTAATATTAAATTAAATCATATGTAATTAATGATGCTGTGGCCAAGCAGTTGAGAAAAGTATATATATTTCTTGAATAGTTTAAACAGAATGTAATGATCCTACATCAACTGGTGTCAAAATAACAATTTAATACAGAAAATACAAACTTCTAAAATGTAAACAGATAACCTTAAATATATGAAATGGATCACAAACAACAACTTTAATCAAGTAATGTAACCTAAAAGTATATTTTAAAATTGTAACAATGCAAGGTTAAAGTTTATTATTTTACTTTTAAAACACTGGCTTAGTATCAAATTAACATCTTACTTCCTAAGTGTGTTATGAGCAGATTGGGAAAAAAAGAATAGAATTTATATTAAGCAAGAATTGATCTCAAATCTTTCCATAAAAAGTAAATACACTTTCATTCTCCTATCCCAGTTGATGATGAATCAAGCTGTTTAGTTTGATTTTAATTATCATTTTATCAGTAATATATATACTTTAACATAATGACAAACGATTTACACACTGCATATACTTAAACAACCACAGACAAAACTTATATTTAAGAGTTGTTGATCCATTTGAAAGTGGACTATTTGTTCACTTTCAAAGGGCTCAAACATTAGCTTTCAATGTCAATTGTACTACATTAAAAGCATTTAAATCTATGTAGTGTGCATATTTATTATTGAATCTTAACTATAACTGTGCAAAATACTTAAACATTATTTTAATAAAAAACAACAAAAGTATATAACAATAGGAAACAATTCTGTTAAATATCTCAAAATTTCTTCTCATTAAATCTTGAGATTTCAATAACATTTAATTTCCTTTGGACTAGAACAAAAACATTAGAACCTATTTTGAAGTGCAAGAGCCAATTTATTTTTCATTTTATCAAATCAAATAAAAATTGAATTATTATTTAAATGTTATTCAGATAGATGTTGCATGATAAGAAAGACAATTTTAGATCAATTACTGCAAATTTACTCTTAGTTTAAAGTTTATTTTTATGTGCTTAAAAACACTGATTATTCAACAATAAAAAGTGATTCAGCATAGAAATTATATATATATTCAGTATATAAAATGAGATAAGACAGTCTTACATTTGGCTATCCCAGAATCTTAGTCTGGAGTTACTTGTGGAGCAATGTAAAATATATTGAGTGTGTTGTGTATTTCTTCAATGAATAACTTCATTACATAAATTCATACCACATAACAACCTCAATATATTTGTATTGTTATATAACTAAGCACCATAATAAGACATGAGAACTGAAAGTTTTGTGAAATCAACTATAGTGAAAGTTACTTGAACAATACAAATACATTAATAATCTTAGAAAGACCCCTGTAATCATTAAAATTTTCCTGTTTAAAATTATAAAATGTCTATTATGCGTTCATACAATGTACTACATTTTCATAACCAACATATTAATTTTTAAACCTTAGCTGTTTTTTATGTATCACATCATAAAACTTTTAGCATTTATATCTCAATATTGCAGAATCACAAGAAAATGTCTTTGTCAATATTTTATGCTTTGATTAAGAAGCTTTGCTTTCTTTGATTAAGAAGCTTTAATTTATTGCTTTCAAATAAATATGAAGTAAACTGCCCAAATGTAGCAGATACTTTAATGTTGAATTTTGTTATGTTTATGCTATTTCTAATTTAAAACTTTAATCAAAACTTAACAAAATTTTTCATTGTACAATAAAAAAATTTTTAAAGTTTTGTACTTAAAATTCATATTCTTTCACACATCACCATATTGAATCACTGTGCCATACTAATTTTGGTTATTCCAATGCTAATCACTACAAATTTTACAGATTATTATAAACTACACCTAGAATTCATAGTAGAACAAATAAATCTCCAAAACTTCCCTGCAATTCAGTTCAAACTGATTTTTTGGGATAAAACTGTTTATAAAACTCAAGTACTTTCAAGCTCTATGCCCATCATCAGAAGAAATAAAAGATCCAATTGAGATTTGCAGGATTGTAAATAATGCATCCACATTAAGCAAACATAAATAAATATGACAAAGGAGTGTCCTTGCAGCCACTTCCCACAACACAAACAAGAAAATTAGCACACAATAAAATAGATGGGAAATTTATATTATTAATGGAAATTAAGGAATGGAAATGGAAAATAAGGAAATTATTAATAGATTAGTAACTTCCTTCAGTTCCTGCTGTTTCAAGTTATGAATCCATTAATAATAATCTGGCATTTTCTTCAATCATTATTTTTCTTTTGTTAGCTCTCAATGATGAATGTAAAGACTAAAAATGCTTAAATTTACAATCCAAGAAAAGTAATTTGAATCAAATTTCATTTGAAGAGACTACCTTAAGAAGTATTTTCCATGTATTTTTTCTGATTAAATACATGAATCAGTTGAAAAATGATAATGAATACCAATGCAAGATTCTTTCAAACATCATACATCATTAATGAAAAATACAAGAAATTTTCAAATTGTAAAGATTTTATATGTTGTAACCAGTTTCAGTAAAATGCTATAGCTTTCTGATGCATAATGAAACAAGACTTAATCAAACATTGAGTTAATAAATAGCATTATAATTTATATTTGAATAAATCTTGATTCTTTCACAATAAAAATATCCAAATTTTTTGTTACTGTATCTGTTATTTTCACAGTTTTAATGTTTTGTATAAATATTTTACTTTTTTCAATTCAATTCAAACTGCTTTTCTCAAAGTGAAAACTTTCTTTCAAGTTATTTTTGAGCTTTTGCTAATTTACTAACAATAGGTATATAGTCTGAAAACATTCAAATTTTCTAAAATTTTTTTTGCTCAAAATAAAAGTAATAAGAATTGGATTTATATTTGAGGAGATTCTTTGACAAGTATGTTACTTTTCTTTTTAATAACATAAATAGAAAACATTAGAAATTTTATATGAATAAATATCAAATTAGATTTTGCACAATAACAATGTTTAAAAACAAAACCATCATCAAATAATATTTTTTGCACTTTTTCCACCCTGGGCACAAAGAGGGCTTTTTAATCATATCCATTACGGATTTAGCCAGATGCACGACAGGTATGGCTGGGTGGTGAGGGATGAGCTCAGTATATACAAACAGATCACCCATGAAAAATTCCTGGGTTGCTCACCCAGTTTTGATCCTAGATCTTCCAGGGTAGTATGTTGATACCTCAGTCACCTCAGCCATCCAGCTGTCAAAATAATTATATTAGATTTATGTTAAGTATGTAGTATTTAATTTAACTGATGTAATTTTACCTAAATAAATTAATATTTGTTACATTAATAACAAAGTAATTCTATTTGCATCTTTTAAACATGAATCTAATTCAAACAACTTTTCTACAAGCACAGAAAACTCCAATGTTTAAGCTATACATCAGGAATCAATGAAAAATTTTTCTTGTTGATTCCATATAATGGACATATAGCTGAAACTTACAGAACTGAGGTTCTGGAAAGTATGATCAATGAACATCAGATAATCCATGCATCTGTCTAGTCGTTTTACTGAAATGAAATTTTATGCTGTTTAGCTAGAGGAAAGAATATTTTTATGCACCACTTATCTCTTACATTAAATTACTAAATAGACAAAATTTTTTGTTATTACCTAAGGTAAATATTTCAGGATAAGTAACAATAAAGCAAAGATAGTTTTCCATATCTGTGACTAGATTTAAATGACTGCAATCCACATAACTGTGAAAACCACTGTTCTAGAGCTTTCTATGGAATTTTTGTCATCAGAAATACTGTGAATTAGATTTATGTTTGAAATGCTTCCTTAACAAATATATTTAAATACATGTTTAGAAATACATTTTTCTATCACAAAATCAACTAATTTTTTTTAATCAATTATTAGCTAAATACTTTTAGAAATCTTAACAAAACATTTTCCTATGTAATTCAAAAACTGAATAATTAAAATGCTTTAAATTATAAAAACTTTGTGTAAATAGAGTTAAAATAGAACGAAGTAAAATAAGAATTTATTTTTATCATAAATAAATTCAATTAAAAATTAGATTTTAGAAAGTTTTAAGGATTCTCTTCCCTATTATTTACTTCATTAATTATATATATTTTATAATTTTATCGTGCAACATAATATCTGAATAAAAACTTAAATATTTAATAAAAATTACTTTATGGTTTCTCACAATTTCTCAGTATTTTGATTTACAAACTTCTTTCAATGATGTCAACATTAGATTATTTGATATTTTTAAAGATATTAAATTTTGTATCAAATATTTTCACAATGCATAATCACAAGTTGCATAAAAATAAAGTTTCAAATATATTTTTCTTGCTTTTTCTCTCAATTTTACAGGTCAATAAATATTTATAATACAAGGAAACAACATTAAATAGATATTTACACATTTAACAGTCCTTTAACAAACAATTATTATAGAATATATCTCAGCATAAATGCAAATTCTTTTAATTATTTTGGCATTTCAATGTTATTCTGAAATATTATGCAACAAATAAACTTTCATGAGTGTTTTCTGTGTTTTTCCTTTTTTTTAAATTTTCATGTACATGATAATTTTTATAATGAATATAAGCAATTTTTATATATATTTTCCAATTTTTAAGTTAAATATGATATGAAATTTATGAATATTTTCACTTCACCGACTATAATACACTCTGAAATAAACTGTTTTTGATCTCCAGAATGAATAGGAGTTATCGAATTTCAATAAATATGCACCTTGGCCAGGATAACCGTGACTGCCTGCGTGAACTTCTTCGTGACAATCTCGACGGCAAATGGGTACAATTATGCTGAGAGGAAGGAAGTCGACCTGAGAAGATCCTTTTTCAACGTCTGCTGGGCTTTCATCAAATTCTATAAAATTTCAAATTAGCTGATTATTTTTGTATATAAAAATTTGTGTATGTTGTTATTGTCAATCATTTTCCACATTATACATCATAAATATTAATAAAATAATGTCTAATTTAGAAGTTGTCCTAAGACTGCTATTATTATTATTATTATTATGTTGGGTTTAGTGAGTTATACTTGGTTGACACTGGTTGCTGTGTACTACACTGGACCAGAGTCAAGGCATAGCAATCAAATAAGACAAAAATTAAGTAAGTGTGTCAGTGTGTGTGTGTGTGTGTGTCAGTGTGTGTGTGTGTGTGTGTGTGTGTGTGTGTGTGTGTATCTGTATTCAGGAATTTCCTAACAATATGACATGTATTCAATATAGTGGCCTTCTGTAGTGTGACATATGTGTTTCTATTCAATTGTAATGTGCCCAGGCTTTTGTGTAGCATGCAGGGTATGACATCTGTAGAGGAGAGAAAGACAGGTACTGTACAATAAGCACTCTATCCATCCTCCACAGATATCTTATTTCCTGTGTAAGTTTTTATTCCTCGACATTCCAGAAACTCCTGCTCACAATCGTGCGGGAAAGTATAACCGAGGGGGCATCAAAAAAGGGCATGGCTTTGACCTATATGAGAGTTTCTGGGATAATAATTATCTCAGAATCTGTCGACCAATTTTGAAATTATCCCAGAAACTATCGCACTTTTGCCCCTGCTCAACATCTTTCCCTCAAAAAGGTGAAAGACTCTGGGATAAAAGTTATAAAATGTTAAAGTTTTACAAAATTATCCCAGAGGCTGTCAATCCTATACTACTGGCATAATACACAATTACTACTTCAGAATAACTAGAATCACAATCTTGTATACATACCTCTTTTTATTGATTAGCATTAAGTTATAGATCCTTTTTTATCGCTCCATTGATTATATGTCACCCATCAAACTTCACCTTCATCAAGATTTTACAAAATATAAACATTTATACCAATGCTTTCTACATAATGTATGATCTTTATTTCTTTTTAAAATTATTTTACTTTGTTAATTTTATTTGTTATTTTTAATTGTATTTTTTGGTAAATTGTGTTATTCGGGGATGGAAATCTTTTGTCTATTCTTCTTCTTTACCTTGTCTTTACCCATTTTAAATGGGTCGGTGCTTCCTTCTCTAATACATTCTTTCCATTTCTCCCTATCAAGGGCTTCTTCTCTCTTAAGTCCCCTCTGGTTCAAGTCTTCTTCACCTTATCTTTCCAACATATCTTTGATCTTCCTCTTTTCTTTTACTACCGGTTTTCCGATCTTTCCAACATAATTGTCACTTCTTCGCTCTACATGGCCAAACCACCTCAACCTACATTCTTGGTCTTTTTGCTCAAATCACCTTAACAGAAGCTCTAATAAAATCATTCCTTATTCTATCTTTCCTTGACACTCCACACATCCATCTCATCATTCTCATCTCTGCCACCTCCATCTTTCTTTCTTGGGCTCTGTTATTGCCAATGTCTCCACTCCATATAACATTGCAGGTCTAACAACTGATTTATACAATTTTCCTTTCAGATTGCAGCTAACTTTCTTGTCACATAACACTCCGCTCAGCTTCCTCTAGTTCGTCCATCCACATTGAATTCTATGCTGCATCTCTGAGTTCAATCCTTCTCCCATCTCGACAAATGTCCCAAGATATTTAAAACTTGGAACCAAAGGAAAAGGCACATTTTGGATTTTAATATTACATACATCATACCATTTCATACCATTCAGAGTCATATAAGCTATTTTAGTTCTGCTAATCTTTATGCCCCTTTCTTCCAAAACTTTCCTCCAATCTTCCAGTTTCTTCTCAGCCTTGGTTTGGGAAAGTTCACAAAGCATAATATCATCCGCAAACAGCATACTCCCCGGAGACTCACACTTCGTGTCACACACCAACACGTCCATTATCAGGTCAAACAAATAAGGGTTAATGGCCAATCCCTGATGCAAATTAACATTAACATAGAACCCTTCTGTAGTGCCCACACTACTCTTAACCTTTCAGCAGTGGGATAGTCAAGTATGGTGCTAACCCAAAGTAGTGGAGAATAAACATGGGGAATTTTTAAAGTATTTTTCCATGTATTTTTTCTCATTAACGTTTTGGAAAAAGATTTTGTAAACAGTTATGTCTAATAAAGAAAAGTCTTTTTTTATTGTTACATAATTCATTTTTTATGTGACTTTTTTGCAGTAGATTTTTGCTAGTTTTTGGAGATACCCCCAAAAGAATTTAATGGATATATTCGTCCCTAACTGTTGAGTGGTTAACTTGGGTCTCTGCTCCTTTGTACATTTCCTTGATGAGTCTAACATATTTTTCTGGGACATTCTTTTCCCTCAAACATCTACATAACTCTCTTGCCTTGATACCCTATCATATGCCTTTTCTAGATCTATGAATGCCATGTGCACATCTTCCTGCATTTCCCTGTACTTTTCCATCAGCTGTTTTAAAGCAAAGAGCATCAGTCATATTCCTTCCAGCCAAACTGTTCCTCTCCAATCTCAGATTCCTGCCTAATCCTTCTTTCTACAATTTTCTCCCAAATCTTCATAGTATGGGACAATATCTTTATACCTCTGTAATTTTCACAATTCTGTACATCCCCTTTACCTTTAAAGATCGGCACAAGAATGCTCTTACCCCATTCATCTGATATCTTCTCCTGCTGCCAGAGTTTCTTCATAAGGTCCCAGAGGATGTCAATTTCTTCCTTACCCAAATCTCTCCAAGTCTCAACCGGAATCTGATCAATGCCTTTTGCTTTCTCCATCTTCATTTTCCTAAGCACACTTTCCACTTCTTCTCTGCTAATATCTTGCACCACTCCATTTGCCTCTCCATTCTCGTATAAAGTTCTGGGATTTTCAATAAATTCCTAAAATATAATTTCCATCTTTCCTTGACACTTTCATAATTTTGTAATACCACTTCTTTATCATCTTGAATCAGTTTTTTAAGAGAAAATTTTTTGATGACTTATATCTTGCTTTGGCAATTCTCATCAACTGCCTTTCACCACCTTTCCTTTTGAAAACTTCATATATAAGCCTCTTCTAAAGCATTTTCTTTTGCAATAGCCACTGCCTTTTTAGTCATTTTATTTGCCAAATGGTAAGTTTCTTTATCTTCAGGCCTTCCCATCAAATCCCACCTTTTCTTTGCCTCTTTCTTTTGTTTAACTACAGATTGTACCTCAGCATTCCACTACCAAAGTTCCTTTCCTTCTGGCAATATCTTCTCTGTTTTCCCAAAACTTCTTCTCCAACTTTCAAAATGCAATTACTATTCAGCCACAATGTTTGCACTTCATCCGGGAACTGGATTTATTTTAACACTTTTACCTTAAACTCTTTCCTTAATTCCTCCTCTTTCAATCTCCACCATTTCATCCTTTGTTCAATCTGGCTAATACAATTCTTACAATGGCCCATAAGAAAGTCACAATCCACCAGAAGAACTCTATGTTGTACAGCAACACTTTCTCCATTTAACACCTTACTGTTTCTCACTTCACTCAGATGTCTCCTGCAGCACAAGAAAAAATCAATCTGGCTTGGATCTACCTCCACTCATGTATGTAATCAGTTGATTCGCTTTCTTCTCAAAGTAGGTGTTAACTAGTGCAAGTTCAAAAGCCACAGCATGATCAAAATTAATCTTTCTCCCACACTCCACCTCCCAAGAACTCTTCTTTCTGCATTCTTTCTCTTCCCAATATCACCATTTAAATTGCCCTACAGATTAATCTCTCATTCATAGAAACATACATTATAACTTTGTCAAGATCTGTCCAAAAGTTTGTCTTTTCTTCTTCTCCACTACCTGAATGAGGAGCATACACACACACAATCATAATGAAAATGCCACCAACATCCAACTTAACGCTCATAATTCTATCACTCCTTTGTTTAACCTCACAGACTCTGTCTTTTAGAACTTTATCAATTACAATACCAACTCCATTCCTTCTTCCCTTATTCTCTCCATACACAAACAACTTGTACCCTTCACCAAGTTCTTTAGCTTTATTTCCTTTCCACCTTGTCTCTTGCAGGCACAAAATGTTCACTCTCCTTCTTTGCATAAGATCCACCAACTCTCTACTCTTCCCATTCAATGTTCTGATGTTTAAAGTACCTATTCTTATACTTGTCTTCTTCCTCTTCTCTTTCTGGAGTAACTTCATTATCCAAACCCATCTTTGGTTTGGTAGCCCAGCTCATTTGACATAGTTTACGGGCAACATGACTGTGCATCGCTTCAAGGAGACGTCCTAGCACAGTTATAACTTACTTGTAGTCTAGCAGATATTTCATAGGTTTTACGGCCAGATGCCCTTGCTGATGCCAACCCTATTTGTTATAAGGTTAAATATATATATAAAATTTGTTCTAATATTCAAACCATTTCCTTTTGTCTATTGACAGTTCTAATTAAATGTAAAATAAACAAATAAATAAAGTGTAGTCAGTTGACATAAAAATAAATGCAAGTGACCATAAAAGAACTAGAAGACATTGAAATATTTGAAAATGCTCCACATTTTGTTGTCACACTGAATGGAGTAGATCTGAGTGAAATTTTAAGTGTAGTATTGTATATTGTTATATTATTTATCAAATTAATTTTTCCTTAATAATCACCATATTTTATAGCAGAGATGCAGATTTTAGAAGTGAAATTGAATTGTTGTTTACTTTGTTTCTGATCAATTCAATCACTTGTTGCATTGCTGCCTACTTACACAATTATGTGCTTGCAGTAAGAACAAGTTACTGAACCACAGTTTCAATTTTCACAAAAAATCTGAACTACAAAAAAATTTAAAAAAGAAAATTCACTTTTTATTTCAAAACACTTTTTGGCACTATTAAATGGGTGAATTTTGTGTTGGCTTGAATTAAAATGAATATTTATTCAATCTCTAAAAAAATTTGCAAATTAATAAACTATGT